GCATGCTGGCCTGTGCGAGCAAGAAAAGACGCCTTGACTGCTGGCGACCGGCGATTTCTCCACCCCTTTTCCGCGCCATCATTACCACGTTCTTGGACGCGCTCGTTGACTGCCGGTTGCAACGCCGCTACTTGGTACTGTCTCGGCCCTTGTGCGTCCTTCACGGCATCAGGACTGCTCTGTGGTAGAAACGTTTGGTTGCAGGAGCGGTGCCAATGGTCATGTGTCTTTTTGCTGGGATCCCACCACTCTGCATGGTGGCTGTGTGGGGCTGCGCGGGCGGTGGGAGGGCGGTGACATCACTGGGCTGACTGCGTCTGCGCCTCTTTTTTTCGCTGGTTGCGCTTTGGCGGGGATTTTCTGTGGCCGAATGCCTCTGCGTGCCACTGTGTTTGGTTACTGTTGCCGCTGCTTTCTTCTCTGATTGTGCAGTTAGAGATAATTTGGCTTGATCAGCACAACTATCGTTTCAAGGTGGTAGGGATTACTTGCAGTATTAGGATTAGCAGTACTGGGATATCGATCTGGCGGAATCGTGTCACTGGATTCGCCATCTGTAGGGAAGGATTTGATAGACAGGAGTTATGGTCGACGGTGCGAGTGCGACGCACCGCGACAGCCCTGCTGATACGTGTCTGGGTCGGTGGATGCGGTCTGCGGTGGGTGGGTGTCCACGCAGCCGGCACCGTGTGCGGCGCAGGGCCATTGCGGCTGCGCTTTTGGCGCTGCTTGTGGCGTTGGTGCTGGCTGCTGCGGCGGCGTGGATGCCCGCGGTGCATGCGGTGGTGCTGCGACTGCGGGGCGGCACGGTGGACAGAGCCATCACGGTTGGCCGCGCCGTGGACACGGTGCTGATGGACGGCGTGTCCATCACGAACGGCGTGGCTGTTGTGTTTGACGTTGCGGCGATGCTTCCCGGCGCGCTGCGCATCGAACTGAGGAACTGCGTGTGCGACGGCGGTGCGCAGATCTACGTGCGGGGCTACAGCGGCGAGCCGGCGAGTGACCGGAGCCTGGAGGTGAGCGTGAGCGGGCTGTCCGGCAGCTACTGCTCGCTTGTGTTTGTGCACAGCCTGCCGGCACACACGAACGTGACGGTCCGTGACTCGACGGTTGTGACGGCGGGGCCGATGCGCTACTCGCAGCTGAGCGGGCTGACGGACGCGGTGGCGGCGCCGCTTGTGCTACACGCGACGTCGCTGTTACAGACACAGCTGCGTGTGAGCAACACTGTGCTGAGGTCGTCGCAGGCGGGCGGGTCGGCGGTGTACGTTGGCGGCGGTGTGGACCTGCTGTCGAGCGCGGTGGTGCTTGACGGCGTGTCGCTGGAGGCGTCGGGCGGTCCGACCGCCTCCGCGATGCATGTGGCGTCCTCGTCGATTCTCAGTCTGCGGAGCCACTCGGTGTTCTCCGTGACGAACGTGTCGGTTGTGAGCAGCGGCGGCGGCCTTGTGCTTGGAGAGCGCCTCGCGGTGGTCGATTCGGTGCTGCGCTTCGTGGGCGTCGAGGGGTCTGTCGCGTCGTCGCTGGTGCGCTGCGACGGTGGGACGATCGGTGTCGGCGGGTGGCTGGAGCTGCACGACGTGTGGGCGGTGGGCGAGGCGTCGTCTGTGGCGTCGCTGTCGGGGGTGACGCTGAGCGGCGGCGCCGTGTCGATTGCGCGCTGCGCTGCCACTGGCGCGACGCTTGTCTCCGGGCCGACGATCACGAGCGGCGTCGTGTCGGTGCAGTGCAACCTTGCCGGCGGCCGTATGCTGCAGAGCAGCGGCGACTACCGCATGGCCGGCCTGTCCTCCGTGAGCGTGGTGCCGTGCGACGGCTGTGCGGCTGCGCTGGCGTGCTTTGCTGCGCTGACGGCGTCGTTCTCCGACTGCGTGTGCGGCTGCCGTGCCGGCGGTCTGGGCGAGGCGTGCCTGCCGTTCGACGTGCCGCCTGCGAGGTCCGGCGGCGGTGGTGGCGGTGCGCAGGACTGCGTGAGTGGCGTGACGCTGACGGAGTCGGTGACGGTTGGCGGCGGGCGGGCGACGGCGTGCTTCGACTCGGTGGTGTTCAGCGGGCCGATCACCGTGACGGTGGACCTGCGTTCGATGGACGTGTTCGCTGACGCGCTGAACGTGACGCTGCGCCACTGCGTGCTTGCGGGCGGCGCACAGCTGCGGATTGGCGGCCTCAGCGAGAGCACGGCGCGCCTGATGCCCCACGCCCTCGTCAACATGACGAATGTGACGTCGGTGGAGGGCACGATTGTGCTGCATGGCGCGATGCCGCCGAACTCGAGTGTGGTGCTGGCGAACTCAACGCTGCGCGCGACGGTTGGCGGGTCGCAGTACGTGCCGACGACCCGTGAACACGAGAGATTCCGGTACGGCCCCGCGCTTGTCCTGGACGGTGTCCGGCTTCTGTCGACGCGGTTTGTCATGACGCGGTCGTCACTGGTGTGTGGCGGGGGCTCGTGCGCTGCGATCCTCGTGGGGCGCGGCTTTGTCGTGAACCTGTCCAGCGTCTTCTACATGGACAACTGCGCAGTGAGTTCGCAGACGCACGTGATGTACGCTCTTGCGTCGGACCTGCGTGTCAGCGGTGGCTCCGTGTTCTCCATACAGAACAGTTCTTGGAGTGCGCCGAGCACCGAATACTACAACGGCGCGTGTGTGTTCAGGGATGTCGCGGTGGATGGCGGCAGCGTGCTGCAGATTTTGTCTAGCACTTTCCGTTTCGGTTTTGCCATGCTCATTGCAAACACGCTGACTGTGACTGGCGGCAGCTGGCTGGTGCACCGCAACAACGAGTTCCGCACCGCCTACGTCGTGTACGTGGCCAAGGAGAACGGCGTGGCGTTTTGCGATCGGAGTGTGTGGTCGATACTTTACAACAAACTCACGTACCGCTCGTACTCGTCAACCATTCCACGCATGACAAGCAAGTGGTCACCACCGTCCGACTCGCGCCCGATCATCTACGGTGTGTGCAACGAGGCACGGGGCTCACCTGTGACGAATTACCGAGACGACCTCAATATTTGGACGCCCGTGAGGGTGTTGGCCTGTGGTGCGTGCACCGTGGACGCCGTGTGCTTTGCTGCGAGGACGAGCAGCATCAGCGGCTGTGAGTGTGTGTGCGCTGCTGGCGGCTACGGTGACACGTGTCTACCAGCTGCGATTCCGGACGGCCTTGGGCCGCTCCCGCTCTCAGATGCGAAGGACACGGAGGTCCGCTGCGTGCACGGTGGCAGCATCAGCTCTTTGGACGTCCCTGATCCCGGTGTGCGTGGTCTGTGCTTCGTCAACGTGACATTCACCGCCGCGATCGTGCTGGACCTGTCGTATTTTGACGCACCGGAACAGACACTCAACGTCACGCTGCTGCAGTGCGTTCTCGTGGGCGTGTTGATCAAGGGGAGTGGTGCGCGCGTGCACGTGAACGTGACATCCTCGGTTTTGGATTTTGGTGCATTGGAGTTTAAGGGTGATTTTGGCACTGGATCCCAGATACTGGTGGCGGGCTGTACGCTTGTGGCGACGTCGGGTTATGCCATTGCCTTTCCGGAATTTTCCCTCAGTACGAACTCGACACTGCTACTACTTGACAACCTCATTGAAGGAAGTAGTTGCGCAGTGTATTTATCCGATGCTGTTGTTGTTGATGGTGGCGGGATCATTATAAAGGGAAATACCCTGAGGGGTGCGGAAGAGGGCGTTCCGTTGGAATCCGCTGTTTTGTTCGAATCTGTTGTTGTGGGGAATTGCGGCTACATTGAAATAGAGAACAACACGATGAGCTCGGCTAATGGCATTTATTTTTATGGTGACACCACCGTGAGCTCCGCGGGGCTGCTGCGAGTGGCGGACTGCACATTTGCTGGCAGCACGACGGTTTTGAATTCCGTGCTGGTGTACTTTGACGGTTCTGTGATTCTCGAAGGCGGTGCGCAGTGGCGTGTGGAGGGAAACAGCGTGGGTGCAGCCTCACTATTGAGTATTTTGTATTCCCAGCACAACTTTGAGCTTTTGGGCAGCGGCACCACTGTGGTGCTTGCACACAACCGTCAGGTGAACTCGAGGGCTTCCTTTTTCAATATTTTCCCATCGAGCATTGTCGCGACGTTACCCGCGCGGTTTGTGGTTGGGTGCAACCTGCAGGGCGGTGAGGAGGCGTTGTACGACGACGTGTTTTCGGAGGGCGTGGAGCTGTTTGGGTGTGGCACGTGCAACGACGACGCGGCGTGCTACATGCCCGGGACGGAGTCGGTGGACCGCAGCTCGTGCTCGTGCAGCTGCAAGGACGGATGGCATGGCGCGTCGTGTCTTCCCTTTGAGGTGCCCGACACGGTTGTGCCGCCCGTGGCGGAGAGAGCCGTCGACGGCGACACGAGCTGCGTGGTGAACCAGACGCTGACGGAAATCACGCTGAGCATGTGGAAGACGCACCACTGCTTCTTGGGTGTGACATTCAGCGGCGTGGATGCTGCGCTGACGTTCTTCTTTAACAGTATGCCGCTGCATCTCCCTATCAACATCACGCTCACTGGGTGCACGTTCCGTGAGGGTGCCGCGCTGGAGTTTGTTGGAGGTGCTGAGGCGGCCGAGTCATCCGGCGTCCTGATCCGCGTGAGCCAGACGGCGATGCGGTCCTCCGTTGTTGTGTTTGCACTTGCCCTTCCGCAGCACTGCGACATCGCCGTCACGGAGGTTGACGCGGTGCAGTCCTCCGCAGTGCATTCGCCGGAATCTGTGAACAACATGCTGAGCGTAGTGCTGCTGCGGGAAGTCGTGTTGAGTGCGTCCTCGGTGTTGGTCAGCAACGTCAGGGCGCGTGCAACGAAGCGTGATGCGTTTGGTTTGTACTCGACCGGGGCGCTGAAGCTGGTGGGTGGCAGCTCGCTGTACACGCGGTACTGCAGCTTTGATGGGTACACACACCTTTTCCACGTAAATATCCTCAGTGTCAGTGACCGCTCTGTTTTTGCGCTGCTCAACAATACAATGTCCTCCGGGAAAAGCCTTTTGTATCAGCACTCCCGATTCAGCGTGTCGGATCACAGCGTGTTGTGCGTGGTGGGGAACAGCGTCTTTTCATCTTATGCCATTTACGTCAACAAATTGTGGACTGTTGAGCGGTCAAGCTGGCTGGACTGGCGCGACAACGACGTGGGAGTGGGTGCGATGTTCCACGAATCCGAATCCACTTTTGTGAGCATTGACGACAGCAGTGTGGTGACGCTGACGGGCTGCAAGATGGGCTCGACGGGGCTGTCGGGACCCCTGCTATCTCGGGTTGACGCCGGTTACCGGTTCGTTGCTGGGTGCCTGACGGTCGCGGGACGTTTGCTGACGACGGCGGCAGAGCTGGAGCTCCACGGCATCACCAACGTGACGACGGTTGCTGCGTGCGGGCAGTGCACGAAGGAGGGCGACTGCTTTGCACCGCTGACGACGGCGGTCATTGGCTGCAAGTGCCAGTGCGCTGCTGGAGGGCACGGCGATGCGTGCGTCCCGGCGCCTGTGCCTGCTGGCCCGCCGCCACTGCCCACGCCGCCACCGCCACCGCCACCGCCGCCCACACCACCGCCACCGCCGGTTGGTGAGTGCATCAGCGACATGGTGTACCCCGAGGTTGCGCAGGCTGTGGGCGGCGGGCTGTCGTGGCTGTGCTACCGCAACGTGACGTTCAGCGGGGGCGGCATGAGCCTGACGGTGCTGATTGGTGCGATGACGGGCGACGTGGCGAACGTCACGTTCGATGGATGCACGTGGAGGGACGGCGCCGTGCTGTTGCTGTTGGGCAATGCGTACGCCGCTGTGGGGTCGCTGAACATCGTCGTCACCGGTAACACATTTAGTGACGCGCTGCTCAGCCCGGAGGGTGATTTTCCACCGCACACGAACATCACGGTCAGCGGGAACCGCTTCACGGTCACGAGGCTGATCCCTCGGTCGGGTTTGGACCTTGACAGCCCGTCGTGTGTTGCGATGAATAGGCTGTGGATCAGCAACAACTCCGCGGTGGTGCTGAGTGGCAATGTGTTTCATAGCGTGACGGCATCGTCAAGCGCCATTCACGTTGTTGGATCTGCGCTGAGGGTGTCGTGGCACTCCGTGTTTGCGGTGGTGGGCAACACATTTCATATGGACGGCGGTAACAGTACGCTGATACATCTTGAGGGGTCTAGCCAGTCTTCGTCGCTGAGCGTACTGAACAACTCTGCCGTGGTGATTCGAGGTAACTTTGTGTCGAGGCCGGTGCGCCATTTCTTTTTCTTTTTCTGGGCCTTAGGTGTGGAGTCTCAATCATCGGTCGTGTTTCAGGACAACGACATGCAGGGAAGCTCGGTTGTGTTTTATTCAGATTTTGCTTCCTACATTTACTACAACTCCTGGCTGCAGTTGAGCGACAACCTGTGCCGTGTGTCCCCATTGCATGCGTTTGCACTCCTGAACCCCACGGTGAATCTCCGCGACTCCACGGTGTCTGTGTCCGGCAATCGATTCATGTCCAGCACAGGCACGCCGACAGCGCTGCGGATATCCACGGGGTCGAGCGATCTCACAAACGGAGCGATTTTGTTTGCGTGCAACACTGTGAACGGCGAGGAGCGGGTGAGATACATTATTCCGTCCGTGTACAATGCCACCATTTTGACCTGCAGCGATCCATGCACCCTCGCGACGTCGTGCTTTCCCGCGTACACGACGACGGCCTCGAGTGATGGCTGCACCTGCACGTGCGCTGAGGGCGGCCACGGCGATGCGTGCCTGCCCGTCGCTGTCCCGAGCCA